ATATAATAATGTTATTACTATTGTTACTAGATATTTGCATAATTCTTTTTTGATCATAATACTCTTAAGTTTAATAACAAGTGTGAAAATCTTTTTTTCTGCTTCCTTTGATTTTACAACTCTGACATTTCTGCTTTGTTGTTTTTTTTTTCTCTCTTTTTCCATCTTCCATATTTTTCATTTTATATTTTTCTTCCTCTTTCCTCCTTCTCCCTTGTCTTTTTTTTTCCCCTTAATTCTATGGTTAAGGAGGTTAATAGAGCTGGGGAATCACAAGGGTGTGCATAAGGGGATGATCTGAGTTCAAGGGTTCAGGAGTGCTTGGCAAGAACCATATGGAGACTGAATTAAAACAAAGGCATTGTGTTGTCAGTCTCCTAGTGATGCCCATTCCCTTTGGGGGATGAATATGACTGGGGTGTAGCTCTATAGGTATGACACACTCTACCATAATAATATTTGCAGATGGCCAGTTTGAGCAGTTGAGGAACTTTGATTTTAGTAAATATTTGAGGATAGATCTATTTTTGCTCTAGTTCCCGACTGGTGTTTAATAAGTACTTATCAATGGCTATATATACATTGTTTAGAGAGGAGATGTGGTTGAAATAGATAAAAGAGTAATAGAGATAGTTTCATCCTTGTGGAGCTTAAAAATTCTTTATAGAAGTAAAATACCCACGAACTGGGTAGGAATCCTTATGAGACAATTAGACATGTGGAATTAAGTGGTATATCTTTAAGTCAGGTTTAGAAGGAAACTGAAATGGCCATTTCTGTCCCCATATTATGTCTGTTTAGCACTAAACATTTTTGTTTGCTCAGTACTCAGATATTATGCCAAACGAAGAATACTCTTATGAATGGCTTAGATCTATAGATGATTGACATTGCTAAGTTGGGAAAATTATTAGGAAATAAAGGAAATGGACTCTCAACTTCCATTTCAGTTTAACAGAAGAGATTTCTTTCTACTGGCAGTAAGTCATTTTCCTGTAGAAGAAGTTCTCTGTTGCAGTTCTGTTTTCCTGAACAAAATGATCTAATATAGAAAACTGCTTTCTTTAGCAAGTTGGAAATAGGTTTCATTGTATTTTTGTTTTCCTAGTAGGTTATGCAGCTTACCTGGGGTAAGTTTTCCTGTTGCAAGAAAATAGTATGTTCTCTAACCCAAAAAGACAACTTTAAGAGGGGATGATTTGAGGATAAGTTCCATAATACACAAAGAATTTGCAAAAAAATTGAAAACTATTACATGATATTTTTTGTGTTATATGAATTTAGGTGGTATTAACTAGTTTTAATGATATTAACTAGTTCTTAATCTCATTGTAGGTTTGTGAGTAGGGCCATGGGCTTATGAAACTTGAAGAATTTTGTTCCTTTTAAGCTGGGGTTATAGCTCAGTGACCCTGGGTTCTATCCTCCTGCACTGGGGAAAAAATAAAAAAGTAAAAATGATTTTATTCCATGATTTGTCCAGATAGATAGTTGGTTTGATTTAGATTAAAAACTTTGATTCAGCTGGGTATGGTGGTGCATGCCT